TGTGTGTGTGTGTGTGTGTGTGTGAACAACCAGTTACACTTTGAGTTTTGCTAGTATTTGCTACACTGACTTCCCGCCATTCCTGCCATTGGATGAAGAGGTTGGTCTGACTGTCCCAGTTTCATCAGTGGAGTTCACAAAGGATCTTGAACCTAGTTTTTCCACAGTCCTGGCCTGAGGCCCTCAGTCCTGGTGGTCCTCTAGATGTGTTCAGAAAGTAGGTCCAGACATAACAGGTATAAGTGGTCTAGATTTTATTTAAATATAAAGAAAAACTTCCAGTTGTAAGATCTTTCCAACAGTGGGACAGTCTTCTTATGGGGGTGATGGGTTCTCCACCTCTGGAGGTCTTTAAGAGGAGGCTGGGTGGTACCTCTCATAGATGGTTTAACTGGTTTTCCTGCACACTGCAGAGGGTTGGACTAGATGGTCCTCGTGCTCCCTTGCAACTCCATCCTACTTTTCCACAGCTCCCATTCTGCATGACTATGTGGACAAAGGTCTGCTGTCATTTCAAAGGGCACCCAGTAAGGATATAATAATCATCACCCTGCTCTGTTAGGATGGGCCATATTGACACTCTCCTGGTTCAGGGGACCACAGAAAGAACTTTTCCCAGTTGATTGGACTTCATTTCATCAGAGGAAATGAAGAGCCTGTAGAGCCATCTGCACTTCTCAGTTTTCAGCAGTTCTCAAAGAAGAAGCTGAATTTAACTGCGCCACATTCAAAACATATCGTGCCTGACTCCAGAATGTCTGGAGAGATGCCTTCTTTCAGTTTCTGAAATGCTGATTCATTTTCCCCAGGCTAACTTTTTTCAACCCTTTTCCTTTGTAACTGTGGCACAGGACATACCCAAGGTGGGATTCCGTTCCAAGATTCCTGCTAACTGAAAGAAATCCCTTGTGCTCTGTGCACAGGGAACAAATCACCTTTTAATTTCATTCGAGTTAATGCCATTCACAAGCTAAGGGTCTGTCTAATAACTGAGCCATTAAAAGTGCAGTCTTCTTTGTAAGGCACAGTCTTAACGGTATGCCTCTTACAGATCTGGAGGATTATTTTTTGAAATGATTATGTCCTTAGAAATTGACATGGCTTTTGTAACTGAGCAAATGAGGGGAAAAAAACCCCACAACCTTAATTCCAGACCATGTTATCTATACAAGATAGACCAGTCTTGATGATCACTGCCTATATACCGTATTATTTCAGAAATAGTCAGATGGGAATTATTTTCTGGCCTAGTATTTTGTGTGTATGAGTCTGCCTCTTGGTGTATCCCTCTGCAGAAGTTTGGAGTTTGAGAACCCAGAAACATGAGAATGGCTCTGCTGGATCAAGCCTTAGTCCATGTAACCAATATTCTGTCTTATTTGAGAGTCCACCAGGTGCATCTGGGAAGCCCACAGATTCTGCTCAGGACCACATCTCGAGGCAGCATGTTCCAAAGGTTGATTACATGCTGCATGAAGAAATACTTCCTTTTCAGGACATTGCTTCTTTGTGCCACAAAACCAGTCTGAGCTTGGTGCCGAAGCCAAAAGACATCCAAACACGAGGTGCAGAATAAAGGGTTGCTTTTATTAAGGTACCAGAAACAAAAGGACTCCAGCCTGTAAGGCGGCCAGAGCCCCGAACACAATTTGGTCACAATCTTTATACTTTCCAAATTCCCTCCCCAGCTCTTCATTGATCAGGTACTATGGAGTTTACAACCTGTCAGGTAGGCCAAATACAACTCCCGGATGTCCCGCCTTAGTTTACATCTCCCACTACCCTACTCCAAAGCCCCTTGTCCTTATTTACAGTTATTCATATTTGGGGCTTCTACTTACGTGTCATCTTAAAGGCTATCGTGTCCCTGCAGGACAGCCCCCTGTCATAATTATCTACATTCTTCTTTCCCCATGGCGCAAGCTGCTTTAAGCCTGTATCTAAATTTCACACATCCTGCTTTCCAGGTCATGGACCCTCTTGCAAGCATTCCAGCATGTTATCCCCCCCCCCCTTTTTCCTTATCAGCTGCCCCAACAGTGGGTGGTCAGGCTCATTCCTCTTCAACCTGGTGTTGGTATGGCCTTAGCTCCACATAGGAACCAGGGGGAGGGAGATTAACCCCCTTCTTCTGACCCTTCACTTCTTTTAAGTGGGAGAATAAACACATCCTTTCTATATTCTGTTAGAGTTAACAGGAAGCATTCTCCAAGTGGACTTCTCCTGCTGCTGCTTTAATCAAAATTCCTGGATATTTATGCCCAGAGATGGTTGGAGGCTAGTTGCAGAACAGACAAAAATAATGCCTCCTTTTTTTTGGAACCAGTGAGGAATTTTTCCATTAAAGTATGGGTATGATCTGCCCCATCGGCCTCTCAAATCACAGCTGAGTTTTGTTTTAGGAACAATCTTAATTAAAATGATCCTTTCTCATTAGTTTGATTAGCTACCTATTCTAAGCAGACAGACAAAGCAGTGAATTCTTACCTGGGGTGGGGGGAATTAACTTATTGTAAAATGTTATAAATTGTAACTTAACAATTTTGGGTCAGGACTTTGCTTGGAACATTCAGCTGTTAACCTGCACAGAGTTGACTTACAGTAGCAAAATAATGATGATGATGGTGGTGGTGGTGGTGATGGTGGTTAGGGTTTAATACTATTATTAAACCACATCTGCCTATCCCAGGTCGATAGGTGGACAAAAATGCCAAATCCAGTCTAAACATCTGGCTGACCGTGCGACCAACCATAATCATTAGACAGCAGTGATTATATTTCTTAAGTGAAGGCAGTTGTGCTTAATTGGCTGCAGCCTAATTACCTGGAATTCATTCCGTGGTTCTGTAAATGGGGAATTGCTATCTTGGATTCTTTATGGCCATTTTCTCTTACGGAGGCCTGCAGTGTGAGCAGATGGCGATTTCTAGCTTCGCGGGGCGGGAGTGGGAATCTCTTCTCATACCTTTCTAGGTTCAGGTCGGACAGTCTTTGCGAAAGTTTTAAAATAGGCATTTTAAGAGGTTTAATATACCTATTTTGTGGGAACCCCCCTATAAACTCTCCTCCCAAAAAAAGAAAAGAAAAAGGTGACGTTACCATCAGAGTATTAGCTACTGACATTACTGGCAATGCACTGTTCCTACTGTGTTGTTTGGGAGGGCGCGGGGGAGGTTCTGGTTTATTCAGTGGCTACAAGTCCAGATGGATGAACATTGGAAATATGCACCCAAAAGTTGGGAATGAAGGTGTATCAGATACATTTTTTATGTAGGAACTTACATTACCATCTTCATTTTGTATGTCTGAACTGATTGATTGATTGGTGATGTGCAATCAAGTCATTTTTGACTCTTAGTGACCAATAGACAGGTTTTCTCCATGACTATCTATTCCTATCTATTCCTATCTATCCCTAACCTATTCTTTCAAGTCTCCCAAAGGTGCCCCCATGGCTACCATCCCCCTTGCTGCCGGCCATCCTCTTCTTCTCTTTCCTTCCACCTTTCCTAGCATTAGAGCATTTTCCAAAGAGCTGGGTCTTCACATCATGTGTCCAAAATAGGATCATTGGAGCCTGGTCACTTGTGCCTTGAGTGAGAACTCTGGGTTGATCCGTTTGATGATTCATCAGTTTGTTTTCTTGGCTGTCCACAGTCTTCTCAGGAGTCTTCTCCAACCCCAAAGTTCAAAAGGGTCAATACTCTGCCTCTCCTGCTTCATTCAAGTTAAAGCTTGGCTTCCATAGAGGGTCACAGGGAAACATCAGTGAATTAAAGCCCTGCAAATGGACGTCATTCCAATATTAGGGAATTATAAAAATGCCCCCCTCCCCCCCCCCCAGCAGGCATGTCTCTGTGGGGCTCCATAAAATCCTTATGCTCCTTTCTGTTCTCTTGAAAAGGAACCCTAGCTGAGTTTTATCCTTCCTCTCCTGAAAAATCCCCTGACTTTATTTACTGCTTCTTTTATTCTACCAAGTTCCAAGCCTGTCCTCCTGGTTTGCTTACATTTGTGCTTCGATATGTCCACCTGTTCTGTCCACCTTTCCTTGGGAGTCATGAATTGTCTTTTGATCCAAGTGATTTGTACTTGATTCTGGCCTCCTGGCCGTAATAAGCATTGGTTGATTTCCGTCTCGAGCTGTTTCAGGTTGAAGCAGGTTCTGACTTGATCAGAAGGATTGAAATGTGGTTCCCCTATTGTGGAAGTCTCCCAGGCGCCTGGGTGCGGCGTTTTTGCCTTCACAATGGGGCATTTCGGACTCAGGGTGGTTTACTGTCTGCTGCCCATTTGTTTCACTGCAGACCTCATGTGGGGCTTTCTGAAATGTTTTTCAGTTTTCTCGCTGGTGTGTTGGTCGTGTGAGAATGCTGCAACGAACTGGGGCTGCTGGAGGCTGCAGATCTGTTCCAGTGATGACAACTTCTGTGCAACCATGTATACCGGTGCAGGAATTGGTACGTTTTCTTGGCACGGTGAAATGTCAGGATGGCCTTAACATCTCCTCCCTGAGTTGGCCTGGTAGATCATCCCTGGAATCAAGGAACATTGTAGTTTCCTCCCACCTTTCTTCTCTCCTCATTGTAAATATATTTAGGATTAGTGATTAATTGCATTGATGTACTGCTAGCTGTCCTACCATTGTAACCTGGGAGTAAGACCCTGTAAGGGCAGCAACACTGAATTGTTAGAAGGTGGGACCTGATTGCACCGTGGAAGCTCTTTCTTGACCTGCCAAACTAAAATGTTACCTTATTTGCCCCCTGCCTCTGATCTGTATACCCAGTTTAGCTTGGGGTTAGTGCCTGCTGTGGTCAACCCAACAGGGCAATTTTTTTTAAAAAAAATAATGAATTGATTTAAATTTATTGACTGCCCAACTCCTGTGGACTTTTTGATTGCAAGGAACCGTGTTGTTCCGTCTTGAAGTCCTCTTATGTGCTGCATGGAATCTGGCTGACATGTTTGGATGGGAGAAGGACTCGGTTTGAAGAAAAGTGGGGTGCCTTTGAGAACCCCTTCCATGACCCCCAATGTGATAGCAATTCTAACAGCCACTGGGGATAAGAAAGGAAAGGAACCAAGGAGGATCTTTTCCAACAAAGATTGCACAGCGATCTCCCTCAACGTTTTCCCCATTTGTTTTGCCAGTTGCAAGGTTTCAGCAAACCATTGGCAGGTTTAGAAAAGGGTAGCCACAAAGCAATGCTGCCAGAGCCATAAATTCTTCCTGGACCACTCCCAGGGGTGTCCACCGGAGGAAGTCAAAGAAGTCAAGAGGCTGGCCATGGTAGGGTGGTCCAAGCTCTGCCCCTTTCTAACATGTGTTACATTCGGTTTGGTCACATGGTTGCCATCTTGATTTTTTGACCTCCACTGTCCATACCCATTGGGGGAGATGGGCGGCATACAAATTTGAAAATAAATAAATAAATAAATAAAATAAAAATAAATACCCTTTGTTAGAGACTATATCTTGTACATTTCTCCCCCTCTGACCCTCCAACTCTGGGGAGGAGTCTGATTTCTCTTTCGATCACTACATAAAGTGGATTATCTTGAAATGTTCCCTATTTTCTTTGCCACCTTCTGCCTTCCTTGCCTTTCCCTCAATGAACTGAATTATGAATATATTAAATTAGGTAATAAATGAACTGAGTGTATTAAATGTATTAAATTCTCCATCGATCATTAGCTCTCATTCCAATCCTTTGCATTGTAGCCTTCAATCTCCTGTGTTCTGCATCCCCCATAAATTGAATGCTGTTCCTTGGCTGTCCTTGTGCCAGTAGTCTCAAGTCTTAGTTAATAAATGGCATTAAATGCTTATTAAATTAGATTCTTTTTTTTTTTTTTTGCACTCCTGGAACACGCAAGCCTGCTTAATAACTCCTAGTGTTACAGGCAGGATTGGTGCTCTGGGAGGCCCCAGTTCATTACCCTGGTGTCTTACTGATTTGGTGGTCTTTTTTAAAAAAGAATAATTTATTTTAACAAGTTTTATAAAAAAAAATACACAAAAATAGAAAAAACAAACAAAAACGTAGAAAGCCATAACAAACCAAAGAAGAATGTATGACAGATGATTGAAGCAGAGTCTTTGGGAGTCAGGCAGCATACACATTTGATAAATACATAAATACCCCATTATACAAATATTATACAATTAAAAACATAGATTTAAGAGAATAAATGATAATACTCTGTTGTTGCAAAATATCATGAAAGGGAAACATGTGCATCATTTTTTGATTAGAAGATAAAATTATAAAGCTGTTTTCAAAATCAGATAGATTATCTCTTGAATCTCTTGAAGCCCGTTCTTCAGATCAAGACTAAAACCACTCCATTTCTCAAAATAATTATCTTAACAATGCTCCACACCCAGTATAGCCATAATTTCTCAAAAATAGTCAAGACCTCAGGGGTATAATTTAATATAACATTCCAGTATGTTAAAATATTGTTCTGGAAAGATGCCAATGACTCACCAGCCCAAATCATGTGAGTCAATGACTCCTCTCTTATTTTTTTATTTTTTAATGACTTGGCCTTTCTTATTCCTGGCTACTGTAATAATCAGTCCCTTTCCCCATTTTTAGGGCACAGCAAACATAGAACTGTAGGATGCAATGGTTTTTATTCCCCACCCCCCAGAAACAAATAAAAGCTCCAGGGCATTTTTCAGCTAAGCAGTTGTAGCATTTCTACTTGGGTGGGAAGAATTGTCCCCAAGGAGAATGGGCAACCTGGAGACATTGAACTGGTTGTTGGGGAGGAAGGAGGAAGTACTTTTGCAAGGGTGCAACTGTGGTAGGACAGGTGGGAAAACGAGCCCGTGTTAAAATAGAAATTTAAATTAATTTAGTATTTATTAGTCTTAAATAAATAAATTCTGTTAGATTGTCCTGTTGGCTGAACCCAACATTGGGGCTGTGTCACCTGGCGCAAGGGGGGCCCATCAGTCACGCCGAGTCGAGGAAAATGGAATCTAAACACTTTGTTTCTATGCAGAAGCAAAAAGGGACGCTTGGGACCAATGTCCACATTGAGCGCACCCTTCATGAAGCCCAAACCATCTTTTATACAGTTTAAACAAGGAAGCAATGGTGAGCCACCCAGAGTCACCCTCTGGGGGGAGATGGGCAGCATATAAATTGAATAAATAAATAAATGAATATAAATTGAATAAATAAATAAGTGATTCTAAGCTAGTTGGTAAACGTCATAGATGTGCGCGCAAAAGCATCCTATCCCATAATGGTCCAGTGGGGGGGATATCAGCCTATGAGAGCTCCACCTCTAGGTGTGTTTCTTTGTAGACCCTGTCTACAGGATCCAGCCCACTGCAATTGAACAGTGTTTCTTAACCTCAGCAACTTTAAGATGGGTGGACTTCAACTCCCAGAATTCTCATCACTGGCTTAAAGTAGGGTGGGGGATTCTGGGAAGATGTTGTGATTGGGAAGCTATTCTGGCTGAGAATCCTTACTTGTGTTTAATTTAATTGTG